AAAGCATCACTCATGCACAGGTACAGTGCAAGACGCAAGCCTGGGATGAAGAGTATGAGCTATAAGTTAAGATCCATGGTATTTCCCTGTAGTTTACAAATGGGATGAATGGAAATGAGTGGGATGAGGGGTGCTGCTTGGGCAAGTCCACCATGGGCCCCATCATACTACCAGCCTCCCCTGTGCCCTGACCAGTGTCAAGGTGGGAACCAGTGTGGAGAGTTCTACTGAGCTTTATTTTCCCATCTGCATCTCCCGGCTATAGTAGACTCACCAACCACTGGGTGTGAAAGCCACAGCTACCTGCTCAGCATGATGGTCTGGGCTTGTGACACATCAGGTTGAGGGGACACATTCCCCTGCGGTCATGTGCCACTAACGCAGTTCCAGGAATCACTCGTCCTCTATGTGCTTAATCAGCATGAGGCAGGGTGAAGCACCTTATAAGCTTTGCCAGTGTAATTGTTTTAGAGCCAGCCTTAGACACATTGGATCTCGGCCATACATTGTAGGGAATTGTAAGAGCAATTAGTAGGAATAAGGCTGCTGTGACTAATGAGCTAATGAGCAACGCCTGAGTGGAAATGGCTCCAAGAGAGCTGCAGGGTTGGAGTATTGGTGCATTATTCATAAGAAAAGGGAAGATTCAGGCTTTGTGTTGTTTATCTATCTATCTATCTATCTATCTATCTATCTATCTATTTATCTATTTATCTATCTATTTATCTTTCTTTATTTCTCCAGACTTCCCTTTAACTTTTAGAGCTGATTGCTATCACAGGAAGAGATAGAGGAAAACAAAGGTGGCTTTTAAATTTCTTTTTTTCTTGGCATGAGGAAGCTTCACTGCTACAGAATCCTGGTTTCCGTGAGAGGTAGATAGGGGAGATTATGCATCACAGGTGAAATTAATGCTAATTTAATCTCTGGCACTCTTCACACCAGCAGATTAGACTAACCAATCCATGCTGCTGGCTTCCTTAAGTGACTTTCATTAAGCACATTATTTAAAAGTTACCAGGAGAAAGCTATGAACTCCTTAAACAAATCTCCTTTTTAACCCTTTTTAATGGATAACTTAAATAATTATTATGATTGACCTTACAACAGGCCCTGCCAGTATCAAACACGAGGGAAATGAGGATTATTTTCCAAGGTCAGCTAGTAAATCAGTGATAAGGTTAAGAATAAACCTCTAAGTACCTGTCTCCAAGGCCTGTGCTCGCCCACATTGCTTTTAGCAATTCATGCATGTCCTCCTAGGGTTGCACAAAAGTAGCAGAAGAGCACTGATATAGAAGGAACATTAGCTAACAGTTAAACCATATGGAATACAAGTCTGGCTTCTGTTTCTGGTGTTGCTACTAATTTATTCCCTGAGTACATAAGAGGGGTAACTAACCCCTCTGCATCTCAGCTTCCTTATGTCTTAACTCAAATAACAATAATGTTTACCCATCTCACAGATATGTTGTCAGGTTTAAGCTATTCATAGGCATGCAACAAAAGTCTTATCAGCTCACCTCCAAATCTACTTTTGAAATAAGTTAGAGCTTCTGTCTGTAAGTATACCTGCTCTGGCAATTTAAGGGATTCCTGCAGACATTTAAAGAATTGCTTAAGGTCAAGAGAAAAGGAGAGTTCAAAATTATCAAGTCAAATAGGCTCTGAATCAAAAGCAATGCATGCATATCCCTAAATGCATGCTCACAGATTGCAATCCTTAAACTCTGCCCTGGAGCCAGACAACAAAATACCTTGTGAACCAAAGCACTGAGCACATTTTGAGACTTTTCAGCAGG